TATGCAGTAAATGTTCATTGCATATCTACTATATCAATGATCTTACCACAATAATGATATAAAATGATCACAAATCATCATGCTATGCAAGAAGGAGTGATTATTGTGTCTGGAATCGGCTGGAACACAATTAAATGACTCTGCTGATCTTGGCTGGGCTCACTCAGAGTCTGTAGTTTGTTTGGCTGGCTGTTGACTGATCTAGAATGGCTTTGGTTGAGACATCTGGGATAAATTGGCTGTCCTCAATGTGTCTTTTATTTTCAGTGGGATAGCCTTGCCGTGTTTTTTCATTGTGATGACAGAGGCTCAATAAAGCACATAGAGACACATAAAGACTCTAGATGCAGGCCTAGAATTGGGACACTGGTCTTTCTGCCACATTCTCCAGGTCAAAGCAAGACACAGATCAGTTCAAATTCAAAGCATAGGAAAGTAGACCCTCTCAGTTTAGTGAGAAAAACTGCAATGTCATATGGAAGAAAACAAGGACAAGGAGATGACTGGAAACCAAGTCATCATTGTAATGTACCACACTGTATGCTATGCCTGTCAGGTGTTTGTAGAAAACCAAACTTTCTTTTACTTCAAGCCTCTTTTCCTTTCTAGCAAGTGACACACATTGTCACCAGCCCATCCTTGTTGCTAGGAAGAAAGAAAATCCTATTTCACTCTGTCATTCTCGTGTTTTCTGACTCTTTGTGGAAAGCAGGAGTGTTGTAAATGAATATAGCAGGAGCTTTTTGATTAAACCTTGTAACCTGGGCTTTAGGCAGAATGACACTGAACCCCACAGGGTGGGGATGCTGTTGGTGCCCTGGTCAGACCCCCTTTGCTGAGCTAGTGAACCTATTCCCCAGCTACCCCGAGTGTTGGCTGCTAATGGCTCAGACTTGCCCCCCTTTTCAGGAAATTGCCTTCGTTCATGCAAAGGCTGCCTTGCTCCAGAGTTATGCACATACTCCCACTCCTTACCCTAGCAGGCTTTAGCCAATGACGAAATGAAAGAGCTATAGAAGAGGCTACATTTTTGCCTCAAGGGGGAGCCGACTCAGTGGTGCAGTTTGCACCAGTGCACCCTGTTGGATCGGCGTGAGGCTAATCTTTAGCTGAAACTACATTCTTGCTCAACTCCTTCTCCTTCCCAATCCTAGTTACTGCACTCCCCTTCTCCTGAGAACACCCCATCAATAAATCATTTGCAACTGAACACCTGTTTTGGGATCTGCTTCTAGAAACCCAAACTAAGATAACCACAACATATGTCAAAGAGAAAAAGGCATTCTCTTCTTTTTCAAAGACCAACTTGTAGCTCTGGCTCTAGGGTCGTTCTGGCACGATAGAGGTGGTTTTTAGCTAAGGGGAAGCAGTGCCCAACAGGCTATGGAGGTGATGTCTGGCTGAGCAGTATGATGCCTAAGTGTTTAGAATTGCCAATATCCCCTACAAATCACCCTGAAGACTTTCAGACAACTGGATGTGACTTGGAGAAAAAAAGAAGGAAATCCTGTGTAAGTAAGAAAAAAGAAATCAGTACCATTGGGATTGTTAATGTTGATGTGATACTAACTATACTATACTAATAATCCAATTCGGTAATATCCAGTAAAGCTTGAATTACATTTGTATCCTTAGTAAGCCCAGTAGTTTCGTTTTACGTTGGCTGGACTAACGCACGTATCTCTGTATGATGCCTAATGGTGAAGACATATTGGAGTGCATAATATGTCAAAAGAGATGCTTCCTATCTCCAAGTCTCCACAGGGGCCTCAGAAAAACCCCTGTGCAATTAGCAGTATTAGGTCTTCTATTAAGGAGTACTTAAGCTTTGATATTTTCCATCAACCTTCTAACTAGCATTTTGCCTCAGTTTTTATCCTCTAATTCATAATCCAAACTTTGGTCAGATTGATCTTATAAAAGTTAATTCTTATCTTGCTACTACTCTGATTAAATTCTTTCTACAAGTTAAAATTCAAACTACTTACCGTAGCATAAAAGGCATTTACAGATATAGTCTCCATTGTATTTCTTTCCTTTATATATATATATATATATATATATATATATATATATAAATAAATTTTTTTTTAATTGTACTTTAGGTTCTGGGGTACATGTGCAGACCATTCAGGATTGTTGCGTAGGTACATACACGGCGATGTGGTTTGCTGCCTCCATCCCCCCCATCACCTATATCTGGCATTTTTCCCCATGTTATCCCTCCCCAACCTCCCCGTCTCCTGCAGTCCCTCCCCTAGCCGTTGTATTTCTAGTCTGCTCCTTCTTCAGTTTTGCAGGGTCTAGACTGAGCTACTGGCAGTTTGCTTAGGAGGCCAGGAGTCGTGCCTGGTGGGCCTGCACACTTGGTTTTCATTGACTTGATGTATCCTTCACATTCTGTGGCTAGTAAACTTGTAATCATCTTTCATGAATTACCTTTACCCTCTTTTTGTGTAGTATCTCCTGGTCATATTAATGTCATTTTTACCTCAGGACAAATTATATACTCATTATATTCATTCTGGGCACCCAGGGCACACTGAACCCCCATCTATCATAGAAATTCATTGATGGATGAATGAATTAGAATGCATAATTCTAAAATACCTTCCCAAGCTCTGAAAGCACCATAAACAAACACCAACTACCCAAAATGGTTCAAGAGCAGTAAGCCAAACAGACTTTCCATAAACTTCAGGCCACAGTGACATTTTTATTCATAAAAGATAGATGTTATTATTACCGCAGAAGATTCTTTCCCCCCAGTACGCCTCCTTGATGTTACTTGCAATATAATGTCTGAATTGCAGAACTTAGAATAGTTTTCTTATCTTTTGATAAGAATGGATAGACAATGTATTATATAAAATCAAGGTCAAAGTAAAAACCCAGGCCTGTTTTCCTTATTTATGTATTTTATTCTCTTCCCACTTTAGATCAAAGGTGTAAGAAGTTTAGTGGTTTATCTTCAGGGTTCTAGAATAGTTTGTGTGTATGTGGAGGAAGGAGGAAGGAGGAGCTCTGGTGAGATACAGCCCATGTCCCTCAATAATAATTATAGTTCCCAAATGGATCTGAAGATGAAAATTTCTTAAAGAATACTGCCCATATATACTCTTCTTAATGTCTAGTATCAAGTCACCAAAGTTGAATAATAAAGAAACATAAAACCTTATTAATAAATAGGGGAGGGTGATGGATTATACTTCTAACTATATATTTCTGTGGATCTTTAGTTTCAGTGTGTATAAGAATCACTCAGGGGACTTTATACAAATGTCTGTTCTTAAGCTTATGGCTGAGTGGAGTAAAGGAATCTGTATTTTAAATAACTATCACGGATTTTTCTCATATAGGAGGAGCTTTGACTATGTTTTGAGCACTCACATCTCTAACTACTCACTAATCACAAAAATTATAGGAAAATTGAGGGAAAAAATCAGAATATTATCCTTAAATAAAGCAATGTAAGGTCAGGTCAGGTCATGCTCTAACCTTACATTGCTTTATGCAAGGATGATAATCTGATTATCATAGTCAGTCATTTAATTCTTTCTTTTATAGACCTTCATCTTATTTGCGTATCTCTGACTTAGTTATACTCAGCTGATTTGGAGAACCTACATCCTTAATCAAATGCAACTCTGCTTATTTCACAACCTCGCCCATGCAAGAGGGTGAGACAGAGAAAAACTTGAACCGACAGCCATGCTGACTGACTTTGCCTCTGACTCTGAGCATGACTGTGGCTTCATCAAACTAAGATTCCCATTTAAAACAATTATGGGCCAGGCGCGATGGCTCACACCTGTAATCCCAGCACTTTGGGAGGCCAAGGTGGGTGGATCACGAGGTCAAGAGATCGAGACCATCCTGGTCAACATGGTGAAAC